CCTACTTGTGATCTCTCTGTCAAATAAATAAATCTTTAAAAAAAAAAAAAAGAAACAGTGCAGAGGATCATAGGGGAAGGGAGGGAAAATGAAATGGCAAGAAATCAGAGGGAGAAAAACCATGAGAGACTCTTAACTCTAGAAAACAGAGGGTTGCTGGAGGGGGGCTAGGTGGGGAGATGGGGTGCCTGGGGGATGGGCATTCAGGAATGCACCTGATGTGATAAGCACTGGGTGTTTTAGGTAACTGGTGAATTACTGAACTCCACATCTAAAACTAATGATGCCCTATATGTTGGCTAATTGAGTTTAAATTTAAAAATTGCAGTATTTTTTAAAAAGACTGAGTCCCCTTTAAGAATGAGAGTTCAGACATGAACCATGTTCTGAAAACTTCCCTATTTTTCTTCATTTTCTTCATTGTAGGATATGTCCATGATTTTGTATTATGGCTGGCAAAAAAGAACCCACAGTTTTTCCGTATCCTGGCCCACTTGTTCAAACATGGTCACGTAAAGGGTCAAATGTTCTGAGTTCACATTTCAGCTCTAACCTGCATGTGCTGTTTGGCAGGAAACCCTGGGCTTTGGTGGTGGAGTGTCCTCTTCCCTTGGTACTGACCCAAGTGCCACTTGAATATCTTGAGCCGTTTTTGGTAGCTGCTTCTCTCTTTTATTGTCTTAATTTAGGATTATTTAGAAATAGGGTTCATTTATAGAGCATTTCGAAACATAAAATGTAGGCTTATTTCTATTTTACGGCTTGCTCATAGTAACACTTTGTTCAACTAGGCTTCAGAAGGACCTGACTGAATCACGTGTGAAATGTTACCTTATAATTACAGGTGTTAGAATGAGTAATAACACAGTTTGGTGTGTGCTGTAAGTATGTAGAGTTTCTTACTCATTTTTCTTACTATGCCCAGAATCTTCCATAGTACTTGACCCGTAATTGGCACATGTCATTGAGGCCATGGATATTTAGCCTATTTCATCAAAATAGCCAAGTTGTGTGTAGCTACTTAGATCACTGTATTACAATTCTGATATTTTTCCAAAGCCATCCTTTTTCGTAAATACAAACATTTAATTCATTTTCTAAACAGTTCCCTTTCAGTGGTCTGTTTGAGAATGGCCATTAATCACTTCTATTGTCATTTTTGTAAATTACAGTAATTGATAATCACTTAGAGTCCCATATGTAATTTTTTAAATAGCTTGTTGGATTATAGCAAGGAGAAATTCTTAAAATTTTATCACTGAAACTTCTTTTAGGTATAGTTTTGAAAATACGCTTCCTTCAAAATCTTACTTTGATTCCCGATAGCTCTTTTAAAGCTGAAAAACCTGGGGGCTTGGACGTGCGCTCTGCCTAGGATCACCGCCCGCTGCTGGTGTGGGAGAGGCTGGACTCGGGTCTGGAGCTCTGATTTTAGTCTCTCGTCTTAGTCACCTTGACATCATCAGCACAGCAGGCATACAGCTGAGGTGTAGGTGGACTGGATGGGGCCTTCTTTCCTTTTCTGTTGTTCCTGTTTCTGCTTCATTGAGTTCATTCGTGAGTATTTCTGTTGGGCCCACTCATCTTTGGAGATTCTGTCCTCTGTTCTTTACGTTAAAAGCCACTAGGTCACTTCAGTCCTGAGGTATTTACGGTGTCCCTTACGTGCTCTCACGTCACAGGCGCTGTGGGGGAGAGTGGGGCATGGAATTCCTAATTTCTCATTGGCTCTGTGCTAGGACATCACGTTCACCTGCATTAAATAAACCCTGGTCAGACACTTAATAGGAGTTTTGTGGAGAAGGAAACACATCGGAAGAACAGTGGTCCGCGAAGAGAATCGGACTGGGTCTGCGCTCTGGGGATACGTGTAAACTACACCTATTTATGGTGTTGGTGTTTGAAAACTTTCGTATTTCAAACAAGAATATAAATTGGCATTCTGTAGTTGGTGTTTTTTAACATTCGTTTATCAAAAGGTACGTAACGTTGCTGTACAATATCTAACTGTGAAACAATAGACTTTATGATGTGTTGAATCTACCACCTTTTCATTGTCTTACAGACCACCGGGTCCTCACTATCTTCCTTACCCAGCTTGAACTCGTCCCTTGATTCTCTCAACCCATGTGTCTTGCATCCTCTCTTCTCTTTCTTGCTTTGCCAAACCGACTCGGTTAAAGTACAGCTTTGCTGCAATCCAGTCGTCCGTGGTCCGCCTCTGCCCGCGTCGCTGAATGTATCTGGTGGAAGTGCACAACCATGACCCTGGCACCGGCTTGAATTCTTGATCGTTAAATTCCAGTGGGCAGGGGGTGCCTGCGTGGCTCAGTGGGTTAAGCGTCTCCCTTCAGCTCAGGTCATGATCTCGGGGTCCTGGAATCAAGCCATGCGTCGGGCTCCCTGCCCACTGGGGAGCCTGCTTCCCTTTATCTCTATGTCTACCCCTCTGCCTACTTGTGCTCTCTCTGTCTTTTTTTAAAAACAGACACTGTTTAGGCACAGGTGGGCACAGTTCTTGGTGCTAAGATCAGTGGAGCTTATGTTCTTGTTGAGACAATAAGCAAAGAAGATGCTAAGTTAGTCATTTCATATGTTTGAAGATAACATGGAATGAAATAAAAACTAGAACAGGTCAGAGGGCTGGGGGAGTCCTGGCTGAGAGGTGCAGGTCACAGTGTTTAGGATGGTCAAGGTAGGCGTCCGTGAGGAGGTGAGATCTGATCTGAGACTCGAAGGTGGGGAGGGGTTAGCTGCGGGCTGTGTGAGAGGATGGAACGCTGGCAGAGGGTGCAGTCCACATTCGAGGAGACACACAGAAGCTGGGTGGCCTGGCACAGGGGCCTGAGAGAGAATGCTGACTAGGTGAGGAGGTCAGAAACTTAAGTAGGGTGGGTAAGAGGCCCAGATTATGTAGGACCCCTGCTGGTCATTGAGAGGCCTTTGTTTTCTATTCTTAGTGAACTGGAAACAGGGCAGGGTTTTTGGGGGGGGGGGGCAGCTGATCATATTAAGGTTTCTGCTGCATGTGTTGGGAACAGACGCCAGTCAGGGGCAGGGAGAGCTGTTCTAGAGTTTTCAGAGTGTTCACGTGAGAGATAATGGTGATTTGTTCTGAGAGTAGTGGAAGAGGTGAGGAGTGATACTGGATCTTGATTTTGAAAGGAGCCAACGAGATTTCTAGAATGAGATAAGGGAAGAGAGAAGAGGACCTAAGGGTGAGTCCAGGGCTTTTGACCTGAACATTTGAGAGGATGAGGTTGCTGCCGTGTGCGATGGAGGGAGCAGTAGCAAAGGGGCGGGAGACCAAGGGTGGGAGAGATCGGTTCGTTTTTGGATGAGTTCAGGTTTGTAGTTAGATTCCAGTGAGCTCATATCCAGTGTAGTATTCATTTCAGGAGCACAGTGTAGTGATTCAACACTCTGTCCATCCCCCGTGCTCATCACGAGTCCCGAGTTCCGACGTCTTCTAGAATACACTTCCTAGCTTTAGGTAACGGATCTAGCCCTTCTAAGTTTCTGAGTAGGAAGAACTTTATGGCACCTGGGCAGGTTGAGGCACTCGGCTGTGAGAATCGGAAGCAGAATTGCGTCCTCGGTGAAAGCCAGGGGAAGGCAGATAACTACCAGTATCAAACAGGAGCAGCCCAGGTTTCCAGTCTGGCTGGTAGAAAAGTGAGGAAAGCCGGGAGGAGGGACAGAATCAGGAGAAAAGACAGTAGGCTGTAGGACCCAGTAATTCAGCCAGGTAGATACCGCACCTGTAGAGTTAATCATGGATATCTCAAAATGCAGATCCAAAATGGGAAGAGGTTTGAATTTTTCTATTGGCCCACCAAGAGATGATGATGGCTGAAACCATGAAACCTTGTCAGAAAAGAGAAGAAAATGAAGCAGAGATCCTTGGGTGAATGATCTTTTCTGGTGAAAGGAGTCCATGAACTAGTCCAGTGTGGCCAACAACAGGATCTTGTAGAGACTTCGAGATGGTAGTTGATGGTTGCTAATGACAGAGGTAGGACAGAACACGCAGACTTTGAGTAAAAACACAGTTGACTTTGTCAGCCGGAGGGAAATTGTTTCTTCCAAAAAGCGGTGTCAGTAAACAACCCTATCCTACTCTGTCTTGTCATCTAATACCACATATCCTTAAAAACCCACGCAGGTGTACACCTGATGATAATAGCTAACATCTACTGAAAGCTTATTATGTGTCATATGTTATGCTGAGTATTTTGCTGATTTATTACTAATTCCCACACCAGTTTTATGATGTAGGTACTTGTTTCCCCTTTAATTCTTGAAGACCGGAGAGATTAATTTAACTTGTCCAAGGTTACATGGTAGGAAAAGTAATTGAATCCAGGAATGCTGGTGTTAGAATCCACGCTCTTAGCCACTATGAGATGCTACTTTTCTTTGAAGTCTTCTGAGATATTCCCTAACATAATTTATCCCTTTTGACTCACTGGCTCCACAGGCTGTGATGACTGAGAGTTTAGGTGGTATATATCGTCAAAGGGTGTACAGTTTGGCAAGGGATCAGGATACCTTAAGTGAAAAATAATAATACAAGATAATGAAAAATGAGGGATACAATAATGAGAATATGGAGAGGGGAATATAGGTTTGGATCTGGGCCTTAAAGGATAGGTATTCTTTTGAGTGTAGGTGATTACTTGGGGATAGGGGTGAACTCAGCGGACTCCAGTCCAGGTCGTAAGAGCAGCTGGAGTGAAGGTGTAGATAAAGGACAGAGCAAGATGTATCTGGGGAAACTTCAGTCATCTGGTTTGGTTGGTTGGTAGAGCATGTGGCTGGAATGGATGTTGGATTGGAAAGGAAGACTGAGGCCAGGTTGTGAACACCCCAAGGGGAGGCCTGTGGCAAGCTGTGAAAGGGCAGTGGTTCTGCCTCAGACAGAATTCTGTCATTCTCGACTATTTACTTCGTGGTTTGAATGTAAGTATATTCAAAGAGACATTTTATGTTATTTCTAGAATGCCAGTTAATGAAAACAGAACGACCAAAGCCAAACACATTTATTATCAGATGTCTTCAGTGGACCACTGTTATAGAGAGAACATTTCATGTAGATACTCCAGAGGAAAGGTAAGAAACCTTTGTTTTTCCTATTTCATGAAAAAGCAACAGTCGGTGTAAAGATATATGTGTATCTGACGTCCGCATTTGTAAACCTGTGCGAACACATTTGTCAAATCCTATAGTCCCTTAATGATTGTTTCTGGTATGATAACAGGGGCTTGTAACAACCTCAGGAACTGCTGTAAGATATTCTTCTCAACAAAAACCAGGACGTTTAAAAACTGAAATATAAACTAGGACGTTTTTATAACTAAACTACCTTAAAAAATGGTCGAATTGATTGTGTTCGTATTTGGAATCCTGAGGCCGGTCCTGGCATGGGTTTCAAGCAGGGCTGCCCTTATGCAGGGGCTGCTGGAGTGTGAGTCAGGGAAGGATCCCAAGACTGGAACTAAGCTCCCTGAAAAACCAGGACCTGGATTCATGGGCCTCGACCGGCCTCATTGCTAAAGAGGGGAGTGGCCACTTCCCTGAGCCCATATTGTCATGCTCCGGATCTGTGCATTCCTGCGACCTCTGCCCCCCAACCCCCTAGTTCCCTTTTCATACCCTTTTATCTGGTGCTGAGTTAAGTCCAACAAGCCCAACCACAAAACCATTTTCTTGCACGGATGTTATCATGGTTGATCCAAATCAGCAACCTCATGAAGTCAAATATTACTAGCTTTATGTTCCAAATGAGTAAAGCAGGTCTTAGGAGATTTGTCTAAGATTTTTGGAAAAAAAGCCAAAAATAACCTCCCATAAGGCCTAGTAAATAGTAAAGTATTATTTTAATAATGCTTTTGATCAGTAAACATAATTTTATAACCGGAGTTAAGGACAGATCCAATTTTCTTTTGTACACTCCCGGTATTACTCTGTGCAGACATATTTAGGTCTTGAGTGTACATACAATTCCGTATGCCTTTTCTCCCTGTCCACTCCTGTCTTCCCCGGGACATTTCTATCTGCTAAGTCCTCAGTGTGCTTATACTTCCACCCGTAACCATGATTGGGGCAGTTCCCATTCATCTGTCAGATCTGAGCTTCAAACACCACATTTCCTACAAAACCTTCTCTGACTCTTGTAGACGAGGGAGGTCCCCCCGCTAGAGACTGTGCACCTCCCTGTACCTTTTATATCCAGTCTGTCAGCCCTGTAATCTTCATTTGCCTTTCTCGCTAGACCATGAGGTTCTTGACTAGCAGGGATCGTATTTTCCTTGCTCAATATTCTATCTTTACAGGATCCAGCATAGTATTTGTTGACTGGCTGAATGAATGGAAATATTATTCTTAGTGGATTTACAACATCTCATTGAAGCATGATTAATTTTGCCATTTACGTTTGCAAAGCTGGATTTACGCCATGTCTTAAGACTTCAGAATAGTTCCTGCATTTATATATCACGCTACTTTTCTGAACAATCAGTTTTTATTTGCATTTATGACTAGAAGAAAGCAGTTTTAGTAAAAAATGAAAAAACAGCATCTTTATATTTACCATGGGGTGTGTTTTTCTACATTCATCTAGAATCTGGTGCTTGGAGATTTTATATGACTTTAATGTTAATGAAGACTTAGAAAAAATGTAGTGAGAACTAGAAAAGCTGTGTATTTTCTATGTTCTGTCTGCCAGTCTAAAATCCGTTCTTGTTGTAAATGAAATATGTATCTCTAATCTTAATCTAAAAAAAACCCTTCTATTTGTTTTATTGCATGATAGACGTTTAGAATCTGCATTTTCCAACGGATGAGACTATTGTACCAGCTCAGTTCTTCATTTCTTTTCATTGAATAATCCATTCTGTCTTCATTGATTACGGATGGCACATATACATAAATATTTGTATTTTTAGGTTTTTTTCTTTTTTTTTCTCTTTGATTTCTCTGTCATTCTAGCACTAAGACCACATGGTTTTTGTTAGAGAAGGCCAATAAAGCTTTTAACTTCTAAGGGAAGGAAAAGGCCTTAACTAGAAGTAAGAAAATTAAGAAAGGAAAAAATTTCAGGTAAAAGCAAACATTAGAGTAAAGCAAAACTTCAGTTGCTGCTTTTTTTTTTTCCCCCAAAACGTTCTTAGCTTTTGCAGGCATAGTATCTGCAGATAATAGTAATTTTGTCTCTTCCTTTCAGGTAGGATGGCCTATTATTTTTTTGTTTTAAAATACATAATAATTTTTGTGATAGCATAAACATTTGTTTTTTCTTTGGTTTGACTGAACACACTTCAAATTACTGTCATATATGAAATATGATGTTTCATGTACAGTTTATTTTGTTACACTGGGACATCCACTTTACAACCGAGAGTATTTTTCTTTCTTAGAGCTAATCACTTTCATTGTCACAACGATGGCCCCACTACACTCGCCCACACACGTTCATGTGCACGCCTATACCCCCTTCTGTCACAGCTACAGGGAGCTGTTTGTAGTTTCCCAAGTCCCAGTTCTGCAGTGACTCTCATGTCACTTGTGGGGCTTCCGGGCCTTTTTGCCCTTATACCAGACATGCCTTCCCTTGCCTGTTTCTTCCTATACCAGCTCACCGTATACGTCCCCATTTATAAATCATTTCGCTCCTTTGGTCCCCACTCCAAACTTAACATTGTTTTTCTTCTCAGTGCAAACGTATTATCATTTTACCTAGAACACTTCATTGTACATGTTTACAGGCTGTAAGTTCGTACTACACTATGGCTTACTGAGCTTTACTAGCATGCATATATTAGGCATTTTAATTAAATGCATATTTTTAAATGAATGATTATGAAAATTGATTCATTTTCATTTAAGTAGTATGTATACTTTAAATAGATAAATGTATTTGCTTCATGGGGGGGTCTCCATTCTGTTTTCCAAATTGAGTATATTTTCTAACATTATGTGGGAACTAGAAGATTGCTTGCTTTCTTTGATTAGTGAGATATTTGGGCCCAATACTTCTCTGCAGAGCAGACATACATATTTTAATTGTGGTGAGTGAGGTAATTTAGGTCAATAGTCAACCTGAGAACTCTCTGAAAAGATGGACAAAATTTAAAAAGAAGAAAAGGCATACACAGGACAATTTACCTGTGAAGAATGATGGGAACAAAACTTTATGGAAGGGTGAAAACCCAGAGAGATGAGCCCACTCTTTTACTAGGGTTTGCCTGCCAATTCTAGAAGTGTCTGAGACACTGACGTTTGGAGTAACTGTCAGATGTAGGAATCATGTCCTGGAATCCAGGGCCTACCAAAGAGGGGTCATGGTACATCAGTACATTTTAGGTTGGCACTAGAAAAAAGGATAAACTGGATTTAGACTTACCTTTTAAGGATTGAAGTCTAGCTTTCAATTATTTGAGGTCAAAGTTTGGTTAATGTGATTCACTTTTGCTAAGTCTCCTTGGGACTGTTAAAAGTAAATATAAACAATCTCAAATTCTATTTACGTTTTAATGTACATTGTTTGATAGGATTAAAAAATAAACAAGTACACAAAGGTTCAAAGATTCTGAAACCACAGAGACAAAATAGACAACTGAATAGGCTCTCCAGATAATGGAGTTATCGGACAGAGATGAAAAGAACTCTGTGTGAGTATATTCAGGGAAATAACATTTAAGACAGGAAATTCATCAGAGAGCTAGAAATTATAAAAAAGTATAAAATGGGAATTCTAAAATTGAAAAAAAAATTAAAATTACGAGTACTTGTGGATAGTTTTAACAGTAAATTAGGCCTAACATTGGGGAAAATTAGGAGCTCAAGTATAGGTTATAACAAAATATGCAGAATGAAACATGGAGATAAGGATGGAAAATAAAAGTAAATAAGAAGCCAATGTAAGATGAACGCAGTGAGAGGGTCTTACATATACATAATTGGAGTTTCAAAATGGAGGAGAGAAACAATGGGTCAGAAAATATTTGAAGTGATAATGGCTGAAAAATTTCTAAAATGGCTAAAGATAGCAAACCACATATTTGGGAAGTCCTGAAAATCTCATGCCAGAAAAATACAAAGAAAACCCACTTTAGTGTCATTAGACTTTTGAAAACAGAGACATGGGAAAATCCTCAAAGCCAATAGAGATAAGTTGCCTTCAAAAGAGCATCAATTAGACCAAAAGGTGTTATCAATAGAAATAACTGACATGGACTATATGGGATGGAATGATAATTGGAGATAATGGAATGATGTTCTCAAAGTGCTGAAAGAAAATAAATGCTGATGAGCAAAACCACTTTCCAAGGGTGAAACTAAGATGAAAATATTTCAGTCAAATATTTCAATAACTTCAGTTAAGAAATAATAGAATTTCTCACCAGCAGACTTGCAGGAAAGGAAATACTAACCGCATTATTCAGACAGACTAAAAATAATCCCAGATGGGAGAAGAGATGTAAGAAGGAGTGAAAAACAAAATAGTAAATAAGTTGATAAAACCAAGTTGATCTTATGAATAATAATTTGTGCTTTAATTATATGAATAATGAAAAATTAAAATAATAATATATAAACTGAGGTTGAGGGAAAAATGAGAGTTAATGTCTTAGACATCACAGTTTCCTACAAGACTTAAAAGTATGGACATATAATATTAGATTTTGTTAAATTGAGGATGAATGTTAAGATTTCATTGCTAAAAGGAAAGCAAGCACCTGATGACTATAATGCTGATATGAGGAGAAATAGAATCATAAAAAATTTATTAATCCAGAGTACATTATGTAAGTTGACTGTGTGAAGTTAATGCTATATATAAAAGTATGCCAAAAACAAGGCAGGGAAGCCAACAGGAAAAATGAAATGGAATTCTGAAAATTTTTAAAATAATGAAACAAAAACAGGGAGGAAAAAAAGAAGAGGAGGTAAGTAGGAAAAAGTAAAATGGTAGACTTATGTGTAACCATATATATAGTTCAATTAAGTATTAATGGGTTAAACACTGCAGTTAAAAGGCAGAGAGTTTCAGAATTAAAAATACGAGGCTGACTTATGTGCTGTTTATAAGAAATGTACTTTAAGCATTA